TTGCTGTCAATTAGTGTTGGATAGGGTGAAATATGCTATAGTCGAGCATTTCCAAATTTCGTGCGATTTGGTCTACTAAGAAAAAAGTTATGAACGAAAAAGCGTTGAAGCATTTCACCGAAGACTTTTGAGCGCTACTGCATATTATTCTTCTTTTTCTTATTTCTTATGTTCGCCCTTTTCTTTCTTGTTTCTTCCCCTGCTTGCTTTCCTTTTTCTTCTTGCTCTTCCTTCTCTTTCTTTTTCCTCCCTCCTTACTCATTCTTAATGCACAACTTCCTTTTTCTTCATGTTTTTAATATCCTCCACCCTTTTCTTTTTCCTTCTTCATTCACCATTTTTCCCCTCCTTCTTTTTCTTCCTCCTTTTTCCTCTGCACAACTCTTTCTCCCTTTGTCCTTTTCCTTATTCCTTCTTCACTTTCTCCTTTTCCCTCCTTTTCCTTAATCACCTTCTTCATTAGTCGTCCTCCTCTTCTTGCTTTTCCCCTTTTTTCTTGTTCTTCCATTTCTTCCTCCTTTTTCTTCTCCCTCGCTCTTTCTTCCTTTTTTCCTCCTCTCTCTTTCCTTTTTCTTCTCCCTCCTTTTCCTCCATCATCTTCTTCATTACTCACCCTCTTTTTTCTTTTTGTTCGTCCTTTTCTTCATCCTTTTCCTTTCTCCTTCCTTTTCTTCCTTTTCCTTTCTCGTTCCTACTCCTTCCTTTTTCCTTCTTCCTCCACCTTCTTGTTCTCCCTTTCTCCTTTTCCTTCGTCACCTTCTTCATTTATTACCTCCCTTTTCTTCCTCATTTTTCTTGTTCCTTCTTCCTTGCTACTTCCTTTTCCTCCTTCTTCCATCTTCACCTCCCATTTTTCTTTTCGTTCACCTTCTTATTCATTGCTCATACTCCTTTTTCTTCTTGTTCTTCCTTTTCTAATCATTTTTCTTTTCCCTTCCTTTCCTTCGTTTTTCTTCCTTCCTCACTGCTTCTTCCTTTTTCCTTCTTTCGTCTCATCTTTTTCTTCATGACTTTCCTTTTTCTTCTTGTTACTCCTTTTCTGCCTCATTTCTATTCTTCCTTCTCCATTGCTCCTTCCCTTTTCCTACTTCTTTCTCCATCTTCTTGTTCTCTCTTTTTTCTTTTCCTCATCTTCTTCTTCATTGCTCATCACCCTTTTCCTTCTTGTTCTTCCTTTTCTTCCTAATCATTTTCCTTCTTCCTTCGTACTTCTTGCTTTCTCCTCCTTTTTCCAACTTCTTCCTTCTTCCTTTTCCTCCTACACTTCTTCATTGCCCATCGTCCTTCTTCTTCTTATTACTCCTTTTCTTCTTCCCTTTTCGTCCCTCTTTACTCCTCTTCTTCTTCCCCTTCTTCCTCTTCCTCATAACCTCCTTCACTGCTCATTTTTTCGTCTTTTTTCTCTTCTTCTTTTCCTTTCTTTCTTTAGCACCATCTTCTTCTCTTTCCTTCATTTTTTTCCTTCTTCCTTCTTGTACTTGTTCCTTTTCCTCTTTCATCGCCCATCTTCTTCATCTTG